TGTGTGTGTGTATGAGAGAAAGAGAAGAGTGTTTACTGTGAAACCCGAGATAAGGGCAAGGCGTCCATTGTGCGTTTTCAGGTTCCGTAACAATTGAGTTGGCTATGCCAAGTAATACATGAAGAAAGACTGGGTTTGGAAAAATCCCTAGTTCGAACGAAAAGTTGCAGGGCAGAAACTCATAAATTGGTCGCGTTGGCAACCGAAAGAGGATTTTTGCAGAATGGAGAGAAATATTTGATTGCGACTCCGATAAACTCGTGCTAAGCTTTCGCCTGTCATGAGACAAGCAGTACTAGAGCAAGAAACCATGCTTTACGAGACATCTCAACAATCTACCAAACAAAGAGTGAAGGTAGCCTACTTGTTATACTCATGAGTAGAGGAATTATTCGCACAATCCAACAGTTTTCACTAATCAAAGGCTCTTCCCGTTTCGGATGAGACCAACCAAATATTCCTTCGAAATGAAATTTCATCTCACAATTTGCCAATTAATTCTAGTCAGGCTGGAGCCCGACTGGAAATCGGCTGGTCTTTGGTCTGTTATCTCACTTGACCGACATCAGAGTTGAAGTCCATATCCATTCTACACGCGGTATATCCGTAAAACTAGAAAAGATTGCATATATAAAGATATATTTATACAAAGATAAAGAATGATTTTATTATGACCGTATCATGTTAATTTAAGTAATTTTGTAGTGTTGTCTTGGTCTTGTTTTCGCAAATTGCCCATGCTGTCAAGGCTCAAAGTTATTTGCCCGAGGAGTCTTGACAATCTTTCAGCCTTGAGAATGTACCAAATTCATGGTCCAATAGTGACAAGATGTGCTTATCTCGGTAACCCCGGTAACATGACCAAGTTGCGAAAATGAGGCTAAATCACTTTAACGCATTGTTACATCCAATTCCAAAAGCTGGCTCTTCTAGGCTGAGCGAAGGCCAAATTTCAGGCTTAAGTTGTATTTTCACTGACAACCTTGAAAGTTCTTAGGGCAAATTATGGTACAAAAAATGTCAGTCCCACCAACTACACCTTTTTCAAAGTGCACAGACTCACCGTCTGGACCCAAACACCGAGCCAGCCACCATTTTACAGCCAAACCGCGACGCCTCTAAGGTTAACTTTGCCTAAAAGTCATAGTATAAGAGAAGAAGAGATGGGTTTCGAGGACTCTTTTGGTTGTTGAGCTAACTCCTATTTCGAGTGTGTGTATGTGTGTGTGTGTGTGTGTGTGTGTATGTGAGGAAGGGATTCGTGTAGGTCGATTCCACCGGAAGACGAAGTCAGATTTCCGATGGCCATTTGTCGGTTGGCTTTTCTGGAATATTCCAGTTGTCGTTGTCCTCGAGGCAATCTCATTCGATTGCGGTGGAACAGGCCTAAGCTGACGTCTGCCATCTGATGGACATCATCGGAACATGATATCATCATGGCAACTACATTCAAGCAACCGAGTCAGCAAAGTTCGCCGGCTTCTCGAAAAAGCTTGTTTACATGCACCTTTATTTTGACGCAGTTGCAAAAACACCAACGAACCCTATTCCAAGCGAAATCTTTAGCTCCCAATACTGCTGCTAACACTTCTCTATTTCAACAAGCAGGCACTCGCCTTTAAGTCAGTACCCGGGGATTAGCTTTTTCCTATTCATTTTAACCAATCCTCCCCATGCATACCACAGCTTTAGTGTGTGTCGGCAAAAACGGACATAACGCACACTTTGGCCGTTGTGACTGTGTCCAGACGGAGTATTGGGAAACTCACCATGTCCATTAAGTATGGGAGAAGAGCCCTGCCGAAGAACTTTGTCGCCTCTCTCGGAATCTGTGCCGGCATATTGTCCACTGAGCAGACGAGGATTCCGGGCCCAAAAAACCTAGAAACATTGTGGTGTAGAAAAGGTTTGGGCACAAAAAATAGGCATTTGTCAACAGTTTGTAGCGTTTGAATATGAAAGTGTGTTCTACCAAAGGGCTTTTTCTCTTTTCCTACAAAAAGAACTCTTTGTTTTCGCGAAATAGCCAGTAATTCTGTGGTACTTGGACGAGTAATAGTTTAGCTTTCCCACTGAGACTATTTGACAAAGACAGACCTACCTAAATATGTACATACGTACGTACCTACGTAGATACATGCACATACATACATACATACATACATAAATATACATACATGCATACATAAATACATACATACATACATACATACATACATACATACATACATACATACATACATACATACA